GTGAATGCCAGCTTCAGACTGCTCTCCTTACTGTTATTGGTCCATTGGTTTCATTACTTGTCTTTACAAAGCTCATCAGAATGATTATTTTTAAAAAAAGTGCTTGCATCTATTCTATTTACCTATCTAATCTACTTATAGCTATCTTTTACCTACCTGTCCACCAATAAACTCAATTCCTATTTTTAACCATATATATTCCAATAATTCATGGCCTTGCTATATGTTCTCCCTCCCAGTGGCCAAGCCATTTATTTCTGTTAGTGGAGATATGACTGGGCAAGGTGGAAGTTGCTCTGGTGACTAGCCACAGGAGATAAACTGCTCAGTAAGCTCACAGCACTGCCATGCATATGTTCTGAGTGTTTAGGGCACTGAAATGGGGGAGAATTTCCAACCTTTCATGAATAACCATGAATCTAGCCTTTTTACATTTGGCTTTCCAAATCTGTTTCAAATCATTCTGAGCTCTTCTAGGAGTGCATTAAAGCTCCAATCCAGATAGTATTAGGGGGATAAATGAGCCACCGGGAAGAGATGTCATATTTTTCTTAAAGCAATTTGTTCTTTTTTTTCACAAAGTTAGAAGCCAAGCAATTTATGATTAAGATTTTTGGAGGACATCCTCCGTCATGTTAAGCCTTTCTTGTCTGTGGTTTTAAAAATGCAGTCTTTGCTATGGCATCCTGGCATGCATTAATGTGCTTCTCTCTACAGGTAGATTACAGGTTTATTTCTACTGGCAAATGTAAAGTAGCTTAAATTCATTATGATCCACTGTAGAGTCTTTTGAAAAAAAGTGAGGAATAGTTAAAACCTAAGGTCAGTTAGGAGTAAGTAAGTACCTGACTATGCATTTGTATTTGTAATATTCAGGAATAGCAGAGAAAGTTATCAATAATTTTAGTTTAATATGTTTTCTACAGAAAGCAACCTGCTTTTAAGAAAAGGGGCATTATTATTGTATGAATTATAATTTAATATTTTCTCTGTGTCTGCTTTAATTTATTTAATGAGTCATAAAGTTTCCTCTATTCTCACCATATGCAATTCATGACCTATTTTCTCAGGTCCTTTCCAAAGAAAGTATTTCATAAAAAGACTCAGACCTGTAATGTTTAATTTACAAAAGTCCCATCCCATGATCCAAGGTTCCCTGCAGAATAAGTGCATACAAAGATAGCATGTCTTATATCAGGTGACACATAGTACAAAACAGGAATGTTTTCAACTTGACCTTGAACATGTTAAGGGACTCACAGAACAAATACCAGACAGGAAAATAACTTAGGGATTATTCACTCTGTCTGGCATTTGCAATAGACACAAAATAGATGACAAGCTGGTTATTTGACCCAGAATAAAATGCTCATAAATGAATAAAAGAAGAAAATTCAGGTATATGTCTTTCATCAAGGTTAGTAAAACCCCCATAGATAGATCATCACGTTAAGTACACCAAATCATTGCCTTTGAAGATGGTTTATTTCATAGTTACAGTCTGCAGTTCCATCCATGTGTAAGGGATTGACAGCTGGTCCACCCATTAGTATTAATGAATTACCAATGTGCATCCCACACACATCCACCAAGGAGACGAAGACAACCCGCCTACACACTGCTTTGTTTTGAATCCTCCAAATGTTGTAGAGTGGCTATTTCCTTAATAAATGGAAATCATTGAATATAGCATGCATTATCTCCCAGAACTCAGACAAATGTCTTACAGGATTAGAGAGGAACTCTAACTTCATTCATCTGATAAGATAGGTCACAGTACCTCTCATTTTTCTGCCTTAAGGGACATATGGGATCCTTACACAAGTGTAACTGCACTGCTAGGGTATTTCATTAGGAGAAATTTTATAAAAAAATTAAACACAGTTGACAGTGACCATTGGCAATCTGTTCAGGGAAATCTGCTCGGGTGCTATCTTTGAGGTGAGGTAAGAAAAAATAAACAATACTGTTCTTTTATAAAAAAATACCTAGAGATTATTTAGCTTAACAGGTGCTCTGATTGAATGAAAACCTAGGATATATGCACATGTAACCTCCACCCTCCTGCAAAGAATAACCCCCAGATAACAGATAACCCAAGATAAAAAAGGACAAAGTTCTCTCCACAGAGAAAAAATATCTTCACTTTTAGAAGATGTTTCCATGCCCCATTACACATCTTCTTCATTGGACAGCTTCTGAGCCTTGCTTTTTATGTTTCATGTTCTTTAACATGGATGCGTTTTCTAGCATGTCAGTAAAAATTTGAAACTGGATCTTGCTACCATGCATTTATACCTGCTCCATTTGTGCTACTTGACCATCTCTGGTCATGACAGTGATGTTAAACATCTGGCCATTCATGTTTCCTGTGCTTCCATGAGCTTCCCTCAATATAGCTTACCAGTGTTGGTCTCACATGTGGCCCTCAGCCTTGTGCAAGACTTTAATCAGTACACCAATAGACATCTTGGCAGGAAGAAAGTTCAACTGCAGGTTCCATTTTGGTTCTGGCACATTAGAAAGTGAAGGTGTGAAGCAAGGCTGAACAATATGGTTCTTGATGTGATCTCTACATTCACTTGCCATCACTGAGATCCAGAATAATCACAACCTAAACCTTTTACCCTGACATAATTATTAATTACTACTATTTACTCTAAAGATGTCCTAGTTTGTCTGAAAAATTATGTTTGTCCCTTGTAGGATGTTTCTTAGGAAGCTACTATCCCTTCTTCAATCATCAAGATGACTTGTTTCCATTCATGCATTTTTTTCCAGCTCACTTGTTCTAAAGTGGGAAAAAATTTAAAATGTAGTTGTCAGTACATCTTCATAAACTATCTAATTCAATGGACTTACTTTCTGTTTTGTAAGTTTTTTTACTTACATTTTTACTAACATTTTACCTCCCCCTACCCCCATAAACATATACACATATTCTAACACACTCATTACACAAAATGCTATAGAAAGGTCAGAGAATTTCACTGAAGGAATACCTTTGTATAGAAACAGTCAGCCTTTTTAGTAGCTGCATATAAAAATGAAGTGTGATGTATTTTGCTATATGTGACATAATTTGAGCTCATAGTAGTCATTGACATGGGACTATCAGATTGAGAGAAAGATACTTTAATTAGCAATCATTTATTAAATACCTGCTATGCATCCAACATCAGATTATACAAAAACAACTAAGACCTTGTAGTCAACCTCAAAGAACCTATGGCCTAGTCATGGAGATTACCATGTAGAATAACAATTGTCCATTCTACTAAGTTTGGACTACTACTTTGTATGCTATTAAGAGGATGTGAATGGGCCATGGGTGAGTTAGTTGTGGATCTAATGCAGAGATGCAGCTTGAGAAATGCTTTACATAAGAGCTGAGAAAGTGGGTCATATGAGCTTTGGAAGTGGAGCAGACTGTAAGTATGAGGAGGCCCTGTGCTGGTTTTGTGCTGAGGAAGTGGATGGTATGATACTGGCCATCATTTACTCTTACAAAAATATCATTGCTTCTCCTTTGTTCTGAATTCTATAGATTGAGATCTTTTGTGTTGATCTAGTAAGGAATAGGAAGTGACTAATATGGCTTAGAAAAAATAATCGTAAAACTCTGCCCTTTTGTCTGATACACACACACACACACAGACACACACACACAGACACACACACACACACACACACACACACACACACACACACTCACACACACTTCTTTTAGTGCAAATTCAAACATATTATTTTTATTTCTCTAAGAAGTATTACCCCCTTTGTTTTTCTTCTGAGTTCTGTAAGGGTATGGTTGCTTTCAGCGTTGTGGTGTACTTATATATAAAGGTCTAGGTGATGATATATACTAAACAGCATTCTTATTCTTTCATGTCAGGCTTCCATTAAAATACTATAAAATACTCAGTAAATACAGATAAATGAAGAAGCACTTCATTGCAGTCTTAATTACTGTGCTTCCATCACTCCCTAGTTTCTGAATCTTCCTTCCTGAAGACTTCTTCCTGCTGGTTGGTTGCGCTAGTGCCTAATTATGTCCTCTTTCCGCATTTTGTCCCATCACAGTTTCTATGTTACTTAGATCTTACTCTGTATGATTCATGTTATCTATTTGAATAGGTTATCTGATTAGTTCCTACAGTAATAATTGACCTATCTCCTAGTCTTTAACTCTGCTAGTATTCTCTGCTCAAATCTAGTTCACAGGTAAGTTCCACAGGTGGTGGTGTCTTTAATGCCTATGCTTCCTCTTCCAGTTTCTCTTCTCATACCATGGTACCAATTCCCTAATGTCATTCTCATCTCCAAATTCATAAGCGATTTTTCATGTTGATGGAGTTTAAAAAGTATATACTACCTTTGGCACAACACCATCATCAGTGATAAAATTTAGATGTTATAGAGGGGCTCCAGCTGCCTTTCTGTTTTGTTTTACAACCCCCTCCTTGATGAAACTTATCCTTTGCATAGAGAGGTTGTATAAAGCTGTAGTAGGATCACCTGAGTTTGAATTCTGAGTCTGGTGTCTGTCAGCACTACCATCACAGGGAAATCTTATACTTTTTCTATGCCTCACTTTTCTCTTCTACAAAACTGAGGGTAGTAATTGACTCTGCCATAAAAGATTATTGCAAGAATTAATGAAAACTTAGAACACCATGTAAAATACAGTAATAACTTTGTAAGCATCAAACCTTATTAGACTTCATCTCCATATAGGATTGAGAGATACAAAGGTCTCAAAGTCAAATAGTATGTTGACAAGTAAATGGATTGTTTTATAACTATAACCTGAAACCACATGGAAAGTCAACAGTGAAGAAAAATGTCTCTGCTTTTGCTTCTTCTTCTGGGTCCATGAGTTAATGCTGAGCACTGGAAGCAATATGTAATAACCCCAAGGATCCCAAGTTGAACAACATTGTATAAACAACAACATGGTATCATTTTGTTCTCAATGGTATTTTCTTTTTCCAATTTAGGGACGGAATTTATCTTCAGGAGAGGTTGGATTTTTCCCAAGTGATGCTGTCAAACCATCTCCATGTGTAAGTTCTTATATTTCACTTCCTTCTTGTTTTATTTTGCTTTTGATGCTATGATTAACTGTTCAAGAAGGTGCAAAGTATAGTGACTATCTAGATTCTCATCAATTTTATTAATATTTCATAAGGAGGGCAGGTCTTACATGAGCATAATCCCATAAATTATACTTTAATCTATGCCAAAAAAATACTTCAAATGTAAGAAAAGATATGCCTGATGGAAATATAACTTAAAGTTTACAAAAATGTTTAAAGGTCCCTAGGAGAAGTAACCCAAGGCCACAGAGTGTTTGTATTGGGCAAGGTTTTCTTTTCTCTGGGCATAAATGGTATGGTCTGACTTATTTCTGGTCATTCGTGTTACAGGTAGTCATTACACTTCAGTTTGTGTCTTTGAAATGACGGTAGAGAGTAGAAAGTTCACAAATTCTTCAACTAGGGCTCTGACTACTTTTTCTATGCTTTATAATAATCCTTTCCTGTTTATTTAATTTCATAATGAATTTTTCTGAAAGTGGATAAAATGGGAATGAGTGACAATTATTCAAATAATATGAATGAATATCATGTAAATGTATTTCTTTATGTATTGTGGTGTTGATTTATTTCTATATGGCATTATTTTAACATAATAATTTTCCCCACAATTTTAAAGTTAGTGAATGCAAAGTAATGAAATTTCTTTATTAATATGATGCACATGATTACTTGAGGGGAAAATGCCCTCAAAATTCTTAAATATTCTTGTTATATTCCCATGGCGTCTGTATTTCTCAACTGCACATTCTTTTTGATATTACAAGTGTAATATCTGTCACCTTTAATTTGGGAATGTAATCTTACACCATTTATTCAAGCTTAATTATTTTTGAAAAGCAAAGAGAATTAAAAGAGTTGCTGTTCTCTTTGTTGTGATAGATAGGTTGACTCTCATAGGTACAAATAGAAGCAATAATGTTTACATAACAGTAAATGGCAAGAGATTTTTAACATTCTGACATTTGGGAACCTGAATAAGCATTTAATATACAAAGCACTATTTTCTGTTTATATCTTACATGAATTTTAGAAATTTTGTTTTAAAGATAGTCTGGCATAAAAGCATATTTAAATTTGTTGAATGGATGTACAAAGGATAAAAAAGCAAATGTGGATCCCTCAATGCACATAGGCAATTAGTGAATGAAATCAGCTTATGGAATCTTACTGTAACTGCCTAGAAGGAAAACCATACTCAGATATTTTAAGATACTAGAGATACACAGTAATACATAGCCAGGAATAAAACAGCCAGATAAATATGAATGCTCCTATAGCTTAAAGTTAATAGATAGCTACTAAAGCAAACTACTTATGTAATGACATTATATATTTATTTTTTAGCTATAGGACAAGCTGAATGAAAGGAAGTAGACAGATTAAAGAGGGGAAAGCATTGCATGAGCTTGAAAACTGCATCCCTTTGTATATGTTGGTTATCAGGGGGCTGTGAGTAGTGCTGTGAATTCTATTCTGAGCTGAAAATTTATTTTTCTAAGTGTATTATTCCTGTGTCTTCAAAAGTTTTGAAATATTCTAGTGGCACCCTCCAGGGTGGGAGACATAGATAGAGTAGTTAATTTATGACAATAGAGTGATTGGAGACAAAGGCTGGGCTACAACATGGTACAAAGTTGGATAAATGTGAATCTGGCAGTTGTCAGGGCATGTTCCAGTAAAACTCCACCCAACAGAAGAGAGAATTCTGTTGGTCTTGGCTCTGGGTTAGATAAAGGAAAAGAGAGGTAGGTCTGGGGGATGTCGAGCATGAGAGAGTGCTCCCTTAATGATTCCTAAACTTATTATAAAAGTCATCCACATGTAGGGCTGGAATTCATACGAGCCCTGTGACCTAAATCATCCTTAGCAAGAAACGTAATTTAAAATGACCCAACATCAGTTGTTCTCCAAGTAAAAATACATTGTCTGTCTGGTTTTAGCCTCTTCACAGACAGCCTTCAATGGGTTGTTGCAGATAAAGTTCCAGAAAATAGAAATTCAACAGTTGGAATCATCCATTCAACGAGAAAGCAGACCACCTTAGGCTAAGGTTAGCAGACACAGAATATATAGTTAGATTCATGAAGTAGATACAGGACAAGATACTTAAATAAAAAAGTCTATACTTAATGTAACTAAAAACTGAAAAGTAGATATGAGGAGATTACAACACTTTATGATTGTTTGGGCTTCTCTATAAAAGACTCAGATCTAATAATTGAAGGGAAGGCCTTAATGGGTGCATTAGATGGCCTATCAGACATGGTTGAGTAGAAAATTGGAAGAGAAATCTGAAGAAGTTTCTAAAATGAGTCCAGAGAGATTAGGCAATGGAAACTGTAAGGGAGAATGAAATAAGATTCAAATGTACCAAATAGAAGAGATTAAAGATAATTGTAGAAAAGCAATATTCAAATAAGTCATGGCCAAGAACTTTCCAGAATTTATGATAAAACTAGTTTTGAAAATAAAGATGAGTAATTTAAATTCATCAACAGCTAGATATATTTGAGTGAAACTTCAGGATATTAGAGATGACATTAAGTTCAAACTGAGAGAAAATGCAAATGCCTGTGAAAAGCATTGACAATTGGATTCCACACTAACAGCAGTGGCAACCAAAGCTACAAGCTTCTTTCTACTGATGGCCAGAGACTAGCTTTCCTTTTGCTAGTTCTCACGTAACAGATTTAATGAAAAAACATGAAATACTAAACAGTCATGAAAACCTGTCTGAGGCTACTAACTAGCAAAAGCTTGACAGGAGTGCTGTTGAGCTTCCTGGTTTGAATACAGGCATGGGGTTATGGCATTCTGTATGGCTAAACTTCAGATAGAAACCGTACAGTTCTCTGCCTTGAAGAACTGGAGTATGTACTTTGAAGTACCACAGTACTTGTGGAAGAAAACATTAGAAAGGATGGAGTTAGGGAAGGGAGAAACCTCAAGTTCTGTGTATAAACTCAAAAATCTCTGATTGGGTAGTGAAGCCAGTAAATCCTTCAGCTTGGGCTAAAAGAAGTTAAATGAGAAATCATCAACTGCTTATCACAGGAGACAATCTAAAAGTTATAATTTAGCCAGGTTAACTTCCTGCTTTGAGACAAGAGACATACTATGTGGGAATATAAGAAGCCACAATTGAAGCTTGAAATATGCAAATATGATATGTAAATAGCATATCATTTACAACATCAATGTATAAAGAAGCAGGGGAACATAAATCACACTCAGAAATCAGCTATATATCCAGGTTCAGAATGCAAAGGAAATTATGTCCTTAATGAATGAGTAGATTAGAAACCTCAGCTTAGAACTTGAAACTGTTACTAAAGAGCTAGATAGAGATTCTTATATTTTTGGTTGTGAGCCTAGCCTTTAACGGCTGAGCCATCTCTCCAGCCCTAGATAGAGATTCTAGAACATGAAACTTCAATACTTGAAATAATAAAAATTAGTATGTTCAAATTTTTGCAAGAAAATCACTGTCAATTTAGAAATTTAACTCCTACTTCATATTTCTACATCAACAAATACAGAGAAAGCGTATCTAAGTGCCCTGTCTAATTTTACAAACCACACTTCTGGTTAGGAAGGATCTATCATGCATACACATATTCCCAATAAGTTATTTAAAAGCCTTACTTGTCCATAGCATAAATTTAACAATGTAAGACATCTATGATGAAGGCTGAAGATGTCATTAGAGGACTATATACTTGAAGGAACTATATACTTAAAGGATGAAAAGATATCCAGAAGTGATCTACAGCCTTAAGTGTGGCACAATGACGTGTCTGTTAAAACAAAGCCCCAAAGTATACTAAAGAGAAATTAGGAGGAGTATGTGAGATGGGATCAGAGATGAGAAGATGGTTATATTATTAGTTAGTTTTTAATTGTCAACTATTCTAGTAATCTTAGAAGAGAGAACCTCAATAAGAAATTGCTCATATAAGATTGGCCTGTGGCCATGTGTGTGAGATTGTCTTGGTTGAGAAGTGTGCAAGAGGGCCTGGCCCTCCGTGGGCAGCACCATCCCTAGGCAGGTGTGTCTGGACTGAATAAAAGCTAGTTAAGTATGAGTCAGACAGCAAGCTATCAAGCTAGCCTTCGTTTCTCCTCAAGCTTCTGCCTTGTGCTTCTACTGATACTTTCCAAAATGATGGATTATGATCTGGAAATACAAGTTAAATATGCATTCCTCCCCTTAGTTGCTTTTGGTTATGGTTTTATTACAGCCACAGAACATGCCCATGGAAGAAGCAAAGGCTCCTCTAGGCAGTTTTGGGATGGAATAGCCTGAGTTGTTTGTCTATTGTGAAATTATATGTGACTCTTCAGTTCTTGGATATCCATCCTTTTCTAGCCAAAGGAGAGAACCCAGGTAGAATATGTGGGAGTTCTTACCCACTTGTCCCCATACCTGCAGTGTAAAAGACCCAGGAACATCATGGACTGTGTCTGTCAAAGACTTGGCTGATTCATGAAGGTTTTTAAAATTCAAAATAGACTATCTATATTCTACTTTTCCCTCAATAGATTGTAAATAGCCACCTTTTCTGTGGCGTGTGATGTATTGGGTATTTTTTGACTACTGGTGCATATTCTTTGGCTTCCTTCATTACCACCATTAGCTAGAAGATGCTTTCTTTATTTGCACATAAAACATAATAATTATACTTGTGCAAGTCTCTATATGAAAAAAAGAAAGTGTGGATATTTTCCATGATGTAATGAATAAAATGTTTCCTTGCCGGAAGCTTTTTAAACCAGAGTTTAGAATTTGTGGAAAATAGCATCTACATCCAGTGTGTACTATTTATTTTACATGTCTTTTTTTTTTCTTTTCTTTTCTTTTTTTGTCTTGGGGAAGGGAAGTGCTATTTGGTTTCTTTAATAACCTTTTCATTTTAGTTTTCTATGTTGGATTAAACTGTCTTGTGGTAAATATTGAAAGTTTCTAGTTCATATTTTTCTTCTATCTCTTCCCTAGAAGGTATAGTAGAAAAATGCATGAAAGAATGAAATAAAGCAAAATGAATTATTTTCTACTTATCTGACATACACTATGATTCATTCTGTGTAAAGCTGCTAGTGGATAGTTTCAGGACTGTGCTACTTAAGGGTTTTATAGAGCTGAGTCAGCTGAGCTGAGTTAATGATTGATTTCTGAAAGCTACCCTTAAGTAAACTTAATCTATTTTCGCCTTTTTATGTCCTAGGTACCTAAACCAGTAGATTATTCTTGCCAACCCTGGTAAGTATTAAAAATGTTTATGTTGCTAAGTTGAAATACCATACTCCTAGCTCGAGGACACCTTAAATGTGTGGTTGTAAACCATGTTCCATTTCCATTTGTCCTTGCTAAAGGTGTTTTCACATGTAACAAAACATCATAATGAATTTTCATATTGCTGGCCATTCTCTATCATGATTGGATAGTGGTGTCTGTATGTGTGTATGTCAGTGCACTTGACCATAAATGTCTGTAACAGCCACAGAAAGAAACGGGATATATACTGATGTATCTCCTATTTTGGAAAGATAAATCTTATGAAGCAGAGAAGAAAAAAATGATTATACTATCTAAAACTAAGAATTGCCTTAAAATGATAGTATCTAAAATTGTAGTTGCCAGTGTAGAATAGGGAAATAAAATATATCCATGTCTGATTTGGGTCTTGTGTGACAGTCTTTACCTGGGAAGATGTACACATACCCGTCTACTCATCACAGAAAGGGAGGCCATAACAGGTCAAAGTAATGATTGTCCAAGTGTCCATCTCAGTGACCTAATGAGTTTTCACTGGCATTTCAAACAGAGTTCACAAGGAACAGGGTTGACTTAAAGCAGTCTTACCAGTGACAGTCCCACCTTAACACAGGTGACCACTTATGAAAGTGACACCCCTGGGACTAGCTTCACAGTCTAATAATTTCTTCCCCGCCAGCTATCCAGTCTCCCTCCCCGAGCAGCTCTTCACTCCTTCCTTGACTGGCAGAAAGGGGCTCTTGAGATAATTCCAGGGTTCTGTTCTCCCAGAAGTGTGGCCTTTAGTTTACCTCCTGAGCCCCTCTCCCTCCCTCCTGAGCCCCTCTCTCTCCCTCCTGAGCCCCCCTCTCTCCCTCCTGATCCTCTTTCTCCCTCCTGGAGGGAATGTTTCAACTAGGAGAAAACAGCCACATAACAGGTCTAGATGGAGCATATTTACCACTGAGATAATGGTAGTATAGGTAGTAGAATCAAAGATGGCAATGGACAGTGGTTGTTATTTTTTAGATATTTTCAACTTTAAAACTACACACAGGAAGCAGAATAGTTAAGACTTCATTATATCATAATAAGTAATATATGCTGAGTATTTTAAATGCACTTACCACATTAAGTGTTTTGTTTCACATTAAATGTGAGGTTGTAAACCATTTCTCATTTCCATTTGTCCTGTAACAAAACTTTTCCCCAAATTCCTATATGGAAGATATTACTTTCATTGTTTTTTTATATATTTTTATTTTATAATTAATTTAATTATAAATATCACCACGGATTCCCTCCCCCCCCCAGCCTCCCCCCCCATCCACCCCCTATTCCCACCTCCTCCAAGGCAAGGTCTCCCCCCTGGGGATTCAGCCCAGCCTGGTAGATTCAGTTGAGGCAGGTCCAGTCACCTTCTCCCTACACCAAGGCTGAGCAAAATGTCTCAGCATAGGCCCTAGGTTCCAAAAAGCCAGCTCATGCACCAAGGACGGGTCCCGGTCCCACTGCCTGGGGGCCTCCTAAATAGTTCAAGCTAATCAACTATCTCACTTATCCAGAGGGCCTGATCCAGTTGGGGGCTCCTCAGCTATTGGTTCACAGTTCATGTGTTTCCACTAGTTTGGCTATTTGTCCCTGTGCTTTTTCTAATCATGGTCTCAGTATCTCTTGCTTGACTCCTGGAGCTCCACCTAGGGGTAATGGAGGGCAAGGGTCGGGGGGTGGAGGGAAAGAGAGCTTAGGGGAGCAGGAGATCCCAGCTGGATCAGGAACAGAATGGGAGAACAAAGAAAGAGATACCATGATAAATGAAGACCCCATGGGAATAGGAAGAAGCAAAGTGCTAGAGAGGCACCCAGAAATCCACAAAGATACCTCCACAATAGACTACTGGCAATGGTCGAGAGAGTGCCCGAGCTGACCTACTCTGGTGATCAGATGGCCGAACACCCTAACCGTCATGACAGAACTCTCATCTAGTGACTGATGGAAGCAGATGCAGAGATCTACTGTCATTGTTTTTATTAAGGGAGAAAATGGTGAAGGCCGAGGCACCAGTTTGCTGCAGCCCCAAGACTCTAAGTGGTGCCCTTGTTCATCGCTATCTTGCCCCTTAAAATACAAAACCTGAGCATTTTACTGGGTTGTATGTGTTTCCCTGGATTTGTGTTTGACTTTTCTGAGAATGAATGAACCTCTTTTCCCTGATATTTGTCTGTGCTCCCAGATATGATGTTATTTGAATGTATATATGAATGTAGTATCTTGAGGCTCTGTAGCACTACTTCAGTTTGCAAATGTGGGTAGCACCTAAGTATCTAATATGTATGATGTATATGTATATTTTTTCTGATTCCTTTGTGGTATAGCCAATTTGTAGAAAGTGTATGGAATTATCCCCAAGCCTCTCGCTGGCTCACAGCACACACATTTGCCTCCTTGTCATTATCCACAGTCTCCATTGCACTCTTCTTGGCTTTGGCCCTGAGCTTGCCAAAGAAATTTGATCAAATTGGCAGTCTTTGATACATTGGAACATCTCTGACAACAATTTCCGAATTTTTGTTTCTGTGGGATTTAAAACCATGTTAATGACAGAAGTGAAATTTTCTTCCATACAACTAGATTTTATAGTTAAAAGGTTAATAATTTTAGAGATAAATACTAATGTTTCCAACCAGATGGATTTTATTAGATAAGCCAGGCAGGTATATGAGAACTGTCAAGACACAAGAGGGTGGGCAGGTTTATATAAAGTTCTTCTTTTTAAAATGTACTCTTGCTAGTATGCAAAATTCTGTTGAAAATATAACCAGTTAGAATAACATCAAGATGCCAAGACAAAGGAAACACCTTAGATATAGGAATTAACAAAGAGATTTCAGAGTAAAAATTCTAAATTACATTTTCTTCCCTTGAGCAATCTAGACAGTTCATTCAAGTAGATGGTTTCATGTGAAATGTCTTCAACTTGGGAACAATTATAAACTACTCAAGTAACTTTGAATTTTAGGAATATGAGACTCAACAGCATCTGTTTATATTATCTGTTAATTATTTCCATCTTTAAAGTAGGTTTATCCTGTCAAGTAAATATTGTGTCTATAGACCATGAAATAAAATAGAAAATCAACAAGACTTCTTTCAATAGCCTATGTTTTATGCATGAAATGTATGAAATGCTGGGATGGGGTCTGAAGTTGAAGATAGGGGAGTTAACTGAAAGTCTGAATGTGGTAGATGCCAAGGCCCCTATGGCTTTTTCCCAGTGTCAAATAACCTGCATTTTTACACTGCCAAGAGACAATGTTGTTAGGTGTATTACATGGGAAAACAGAACCACACAGGGCTTTGACTTGGAAGAGCCAGGCCTAACAGAGACTGGGGAGATGGCACTCTGAAAACCACTTAGATTAATGAAAGTTTTATATCAAAGGTGAGAAACCCTGTTTCTTTCATATAGCTTAGATCTGGCATGGAGCAGTTCCTCTCACACTGTACCCTTTCCTTGAATGCAGAAATGAGTTTAGAGAACTCTAAAGAAACTGAATAAACTGAGAAAAATCCAAACCCCTAACATTTGGACATTTCCCAGCCCAATTATCAGATTCTTGCCAAATTAGCAGACTTCTGCACAGTGGTGTACTTTTGGACCTGCACACATAGGACCCTCACTCGTTCCTGGATTCAGCTTCCTTATATATGAACAAACAAAAAAGTGAAACCAGACATTTGAGGAAAACTTTGAAGTAAGTACATAACAAGTGTTTTGTAAGAGGAATGATATGAAAATGGGAAAGCTTTTTCTCTCAATTTTTTTTTTATGATTTAACTTTATTGAAATGAAAAGAATCAGAAACAGTCACATAGGAACACAAACCGGTCTGGAAGGGTCTGAAGCACAGAGCTTCCTTGTCCTTCCTTGTCCAGGACAAGAATGCATCAGCCTGAAGCACAGGCACGTATGTGTTCATCTGTATGTAGAGAAGTTGCATCAGGTCTCCACCAGAGCTGGAACTGAACCATCTACCGGCAGGATTCCCAGAGGTCTCTGACTGACCTCAAACCCCAGTTCTCTCTTCTTCTTTAAAGGGGTCCTTGGAGCTCAATGCCCCAACCCTCCGATCAATCATCAAGCTGGGCTTTAGAGTGGCCAGCTGCCATCCTGGGTCATCTCCTCTCTTGACAAAAATTCTACTGTGACCCACAAGGCAGACAAATAACAATGACGCTCCATCCTCTCAGGAAATTCCAAGGACTTAACACCCCCCACACCCCCATTATTAAGAAATTTTTTATTCATTTTACATACCAATTATAGATGCCCCTCTCTTCCCTCCTTCTACTCCCTCAGCCTCCCCTGCCCCTTAACTCCTCCAAAAAGGTAAGGCCTCCTGTGGGGAGTCAGCAGAGCCTGGTACATTCAGTTGAGGCAGGTCCAAGCCCCTCTCCCTGCATCAAGGCTGTGCAAGATATTCCATCATAGGTAAAATGGAAATGTTTTCAGCAATTAAGAAGATTAGGAGCTTGGGAAAATGTTGAAAAAAAATTTCAAAAATATCAAAGAAAGAGATAAGATGGGAGAAATGTTTTAAAATTAAGTAGTTGACATGAATTCTTGCTAGTATTCAACTTATAAGAACTTCCTAAAGAAAAATAAATGCCTAAGGGCATCAATTACTAAAGAAATAATACAAAATTTTCCAGAGTTAAATGCCATGTCTACAATTTGGAGATGCTGCTGAATCCATAAGAAAGTACATTATCATTAAAATTTTCTAATATAGAAAATACAGAATCCAAAAGTTTCCAAGAGAAAAAAAAATATCAGGTAACATCCAATGAGTCAGAAATTAGAATGAAATCAATTGGAAGTTAAAAGATAACGATATAATGCCATTTAATATTTAAGAGGTAAAATCATTTCTTACTTGGAATTCTATCCCAACCAAAGTACAAATTCAGTGTTGGGTAAAATGAAGTGTTTTGTAAGTGTTGGGCTTCAAAGTATTGCATCCCATACTCTATTCATAGAAAACTTAATGATCAATTTTTACTCCAAGGCAAAGAAAAATGTAGAATCCAGGAAGGGGGCAGCAGGCCTAGCGGACAGGAAGAATCAATTAGTTTAAGTGAGTTGGGGACTCAGAAGCCATTGGATTAAGAGTGAGAACTTTGCAAGTAGAATATATAACATTAAACATGTATTGTTAGGGAGTTTTGTAGAGAATTTGGAAAGAAAACAGCCTAAACAACAACAAAAAAGTTTGTGTTTACCTTTTTACAAGTCAAATATTTTTTTAACTACTACCCTGCTCAAAATGGGCCTGATGATGACTTGGCTTCACAGAAGTTATAGAAAGACAATAATCTGTCACAGAGTATGTCTGAAGAAAAGTGGCTTTCCTTCCTTATGCTCAGAGTTATAAGTTAATGAATTGTAATAAAATACAATTGTTTAAAATATCTATGTAGAAATAAGAAAAAAACAGGTTAAATGTTTGACCCAGGACTTGGAGTAGAAAGCTCATATGATGGATTACTGCTTTTCATTGTAGTGTAGATTACCTTTTTAAACTGTATTTTAATTATATTTACACAAATTTTGTGTATATATGTATATATACATTCATACACACACACACACACACACACACACACACACACACACACACACACACATATATATATATATATATATATATATATATATATATATATATAAAACATATATATTTGTGGTGATGGCCAGGACAATAGGGATACTGTACGCAGAATGCTGAAGTGAGGGTTACATATTCAGGACAATTCTTTAGATGGATAGACAGGATGATTCTCTAAACCTGGATGACAAGATCAATTGTGCTGATAGAAGTGTGTGTCCATGTAAGAACATGGTCTATGAGGGACCTTAAAGGCAGAAGGAAACTGACAATCCCTAGATACAGAAGGCTGGAGAGTAGAGATGCAGAGGTTGGAAGAAATAAGGCTGATGAGGTAAGCATGAAGCAGACTCTACTAGATCCTAATAGGTCATAGGTTATCATAACTGCCTTTTAAAAAAGGTGCCATTGGTACAAAATGCCATTAATTCCCATTTATAATTGGTGCAAGATTGCCTCTACCCGGCTCCACAAACTTTCCTTAAATGTCTTCTGTATACATATTAAATAAATGGTGTAGATTAAAGGCTGGGTTTATGCTGAGTTTATGATTCGATATGTGAGTCAGTTTTCTGGTATATTAATTCATGAATAGCTTGAAAAGAGCTGATCCAAAGGTAGTTCCCTTTTAATTTCAGTTGTTCTGGATCTTTGATATTCCTTACCACTATGTGGTATACTTAAATTTGATACAAAGAATCATACAAGAATAATTTCACCCAGAGTTTAGGTATTTTACTATGATGGTTATTGTTTTGATGGAATTCAGCTGTGCTTAAGGCCCATATAGTCTAGAGAAACTTGAACTCTGGTTTTGAAAAAGTATCTGCTTTTGAAAATAATTCCTTCATTACTTCCTGTTTCTCTAGAAATTTGTCAAAATTATGAACTAAGATAATTAATCTCACATCCAAATAGTAACTATTTTAAAATAGTTTAAATTATACCAGAGTCTTTTTAAAAAGATCCTCAAAAGATATTTGAAAGTATACATAGGAAAGGTGAAGTTGTGTGTGTGTGTGTGTGTGTGTGTGTGTGTGTGTGTGTGTGTGTGTGTGTGTGTGTCTGTCTGTGTCTTATGCAGGGCCATGCCTCCCATAGTCTTCTCCCTATGTGTTCCTAAACTTCCCACAGCTGTCCTAAACAGTCTTTCTGGTCTAGTATCTTCTGATTCTTCTCTTTGTCTTGTCCCTTGTGTTTATTTGATATTTACTGGTGCTCACTGGGTCTTTAGGCACTGTTTATTTTGCTGATGTAACATTGTACCACATTTGCGTTTAGACATATTAAAGAGATTTTCTGAATTATTATTTAAAGCAATGTAATTAGCATACAAGTAAAACCATGACAGATAATTATATTTAGCCTCTCTTTTCAGATACATTTATCCATTTTTTTTGTCTTCCTGTGTTTTGCCAGGTATGCTGGACCAATGGAAAGATTGCAGGCAGAAACTGAACTTATTAACAGGGTGAATAGTACTTACCTTGTGAGGCTTAGGACCAAGGAGTCTGGAGAATATGCAATTAGCATTAAGTAAGTAGGACATGTGCTTTTGTAGAAATAGATTTCCTGTGTTCATAACTGTGTAGGTCATGTGACACATCTAACACTGAAGTTGAAAACCAAGGTTCTAATTACAGCAGAAATAATGCAATTATCCAGACAGTTCATTAATACTGGAAAATATCTGTAAGGAAAACAGTAATGGGTGTTATAGGCTGTTAATTGGCATAATGGATTTCTTTCATAACATTTTATTTTGTTTATTTGATATGTGTGTATTTCTAGTAAATTCTAAGAATACAAATTACTAGATTTTGTCCTTTTTTGTACTCTCAAACTGAACTTACTAAGTAAATTAAGCACAATGATTAGTCACATCCAAATCTTCTCTCACTTCAATATTGGTTATATCTTCAACCCACCTAGTAAATACATTTTGTTAATTAGCTGTCACCATTGTATTGGCATAAGTATATATTTTGTCTTCAGAATTAATTCCTATAATGTTATTGGGGCATGCCCTCTGGTAATTATTGATTTCTACTGATTAAAAACACATTTATATTCATAAGTTATTCATTGCCCACAGGTATAATAATGAAGCAAAACACATCAAGATTTTAACAAGAGATGGCTTTTTTCACATTGCAGAAAATAGAAAATTTAAAAGCTTAATGGTAAATATTGATTATTTCTTTTCAATCTATAATTCCCATTTTCTACTGTTAAGTTAGTTTAACTCTATAATTTCTTAGCAATGGTACCCATTGGAAATTATTTAAAGAGAATAATAGTGTAGGCTTTAGCAAAATCCTAATTTTCCCGGTTGAAGAATTCCAATGAAGTTTTACATTGCTCAAATGCTATTGCTCATTATAAATGAGGTTTGTAAGTTTGAGATAATATTTTAGAGTCTATACTACTCATGATTCTTAAAGCAATGGCCAACTCAATTATAACTTTCAGTTGTTTGTATGGGTGTTTGAGTGTGTCGTCTCAATGGCAAATGACATTTTTACTGTGTGATTCCTCTTATTTTGTCCTCTGTCTCTTCACTAAGCTATTTTGTGTCATTACAAATTATGGGACAGAAAAGTGTTTATTAATAAAATACCTCTTACATTTAGGTGTATTTCATACAAAATTTAATATAAAGTCAATTTGAAATTTGTTTATATTTTCTGCTATTATAAATTGTCTATGTAATGATAGTTCTCATTCATTACATTAGACAAGCATTAGTAGTAATTTTATATTTTTGCTGCATACAACAGTTGATATCGCAGAGAAATTTATTTTGATTAGAATGCATTTATTAATTCTGTCAATTTATAAAAATCTCAATAATTTTATTATTAGTTATGGTGTGTATATGTCATACAGACCGTACATACATATTATATACACACTCTCAACAGTAAAGAAATTTTATTTTCTTAGAAGAGGCTACAAATCTATTTTTTTTCCCACTTAGGTAGTTTCTTGAACTAATAAAGAATTTAGATATATGACACAAGATACATTTGTAGCTGCTAAGATCTTTGATTAGTTTGAGAGGGAAGATTCATTGATGCAGCTATCAGTCAAATGATATATACTATATCTTTCTGGAAAATAACAGAAATCACTTAGGAATACAAATGAGTTAAAATTGAGTATAAGAAGGCTTACAAGCTCAGCCAGCTTGAATGCCTTATCTCAAAACCATTTCAAGATAGAGATCAGTGCCTTAAAGAAATCAAAACATCTTGAGCTGAGAGAGCAGGAAATAGGAGGAAATCTATAGACATAAATGGCACATTTGAAATTTAAAAGCAAAGGACAGGCAGCATGGACATGTCTTGAAAAAATGGAAACTCTTGTCAAATTGGTAACCAAGATCCAGGCATCCTCGCTGCTGGAAGTAACTTACATGTCTTGCACCCATCAGGCTGTGAGAGAGAGCAGAGAGTGAGCTTGACCAGAGGAGGTTCTTTATATAATAAAAACCTAGAAAGGATGTAGCAAGTGGGTGTACAGATGATGAATGACAGGCACAGCTCCAGCATGATGAAAGCGTGTACGGGCACTCCACATCTCTGCAAGACATGCCTGCAGAACTTCTTTAGGTGATAATGAGGCTTCTTCACAGTGTTACAGTTTATATGACACTTAAAAAAATGCTGCAGGGCCAATGATAACTGCTAGCCCTTCAGACACTGAAAGTAGCAAAGGGAACTCTCATCAGAGAAGACACACAGGAAGGATGAAAGGAATGGCCATTGGAAGGGGTCAGTCAGTTCGGCTTTGTGTCACCTGGTTCAGCCCAAGGAAGTCCTTTAGCAAGGAATGTTAGGGATGATAAAAGCTAGTGGCACCATCGTGAGCTGTAGATCTTTTAAAGCCATGATTATACTAAAGTGAATAGACATTCCATTTTAAATAATTTGTAGCAGAGACCATTAAAATTTATTCACTGGTCCCCAGGAAAGGGAAGTAAAGATACATGTCCCAGAGTTCAAATAAGTATCACAAAATCTGTGTATCACTCACAAATGTCACTGTTAGGGATGCATACACATGCCTATGTTATTTTCTTTTTCTTTCTTTCTTTTCTTTCTCTCTCTCTCTCTCTCTCTCTCTCTCTCTCTCTCTCTCTCTCTCTCTCTCTCTCTCTCTCTCTCTCTTTCTTTTCTTCCACACCTGGAAATCTTTTCAGGAAAGCTCAGACTATAATGGTTCAAAAGAGGTAATTGAGAATTATTAACAGGAAAACCACAGAAACTAAAAAGAAAAGAAACCAGCTTAAGGATATTTGTATAAAAAAGAAAGACAGACAAGAAAGAGAAAACCTTCTGTTATAAGCAAAGGCCTTTTGCCAGGTTTAGCAAATAACTACCAGTTGCTGAAGAAGCTGCTGAGCTAGTTGACGTTAGCACTACTTTTTGTTCATATGTTGAATAAATTTATTTTGAATCTTTATTTTTAATTTTTGGAATTGTGTATTCAATAAATTCAATAAGCAGATAATCAGTGATATTTAGGCATTATAAATATTTTTAAATTAAATGTTTTACTTTTCCAAAAGACAGACTTGGATTCTCATAAAACAATTTAATAGAGCAAGGCACAATGTTTAAGGTAGAACTCACAAAGAAGGGCGTGTAACCTTATTTTGAATCTTAAAAGACTCAGTCATGGTAGTTTTAAGACACTTCAAAATAAAATGACTCAACTGATCTAAAATAGCTTACAAACTAGGACATGCATGTGTGCTAGAGAACTCAAGATAGAGGTATGTTATAGACCTAAGCTGGGAAATGCCAAGTGGATACTTGCCAAGAAGAAGTATTTCATATGATGGTAACAGATTCTTTCAGAAGATGGAGGAGGTTCTAAGATGTAGGGGGTGTCTTAAAAAAAAAAAAAGGTCATACAATCTGTAGCAGACACAGTTTATTGTGTTGTATTACATTGCACAGTTACCATTGCTGTAAGTATTGGTGTGTGGATTTGAGCCATTCCCCAGGAGTAATTCAGTATCTCAATATCTGTGTTACATTATGTTCTTCTGCATATGAACCACAGTATAGTGCGGAATAAAATATTTATCAGAAAGGATATGAAACACAAGCAGACTTGAAAGCTTATTTTAAATTAGCTGATGTCTCACAGAGAAGGCTGTATTTTGTGCTTGGGACCAGAGCTTCTTCCCTTGGGTTTCAATAGCCTGGTTAATCAAACTCTTTTTTTTTTCTTCGTCATTAAGTTTCAATCCTAAATGACTTTCAGATTCCAGATTACAAGGCATTAATTTTGTTCTGATTTTCATGTATGCCAGACAAGCTATGTCCAAATGCTACTTGTAAGCCATCTCTACTGCCTGTTTCCTTGGTAATTGGAATGGCTGGCCCACACTCATTATTTCTGAGTTGGATTGTTGACACCACTGTGTCAGCTGCGATAAGGGAAGCTTAGAGATTTCTTTTGTTTAGAATCATCTTATTTGCTTGTTGTACCTGAAGGTCAATGACTGCTAAAGCAGGGGTGGATTAGACTAAACTACAGAGAGCAGAAAGCCAGGAATTTGAAAAGATCCACGGTGGTGCTCCTTAATTCTACTCAGGAACGTCTTAGGAAGATTTATCTGCTTAAGACTGTAAAAATGTAACTAAAATACCATCCACGCTTGGCCAGGTATTAAAAACTGTCTGCAGTTTACTAAACTGCCTGACCCAGGTTCTTAGACAAGCCTTTTTTTTTCTTTTTTTCTTCTGTAAAAATATTAAATGACTGCAAAATACTTTTATTCAGTTCAATAATTCAATAGTTTATAGCCCACTTCTCATTAATCTTAATTAATAATGATTTATAACAAAATTTATAAAATTTATATTCTCTCTCAAAGTTAAATTGAAGTTCAAAGCTATTGAACTACATGATTCATTTCAGATTTGTATTTATATTGTCAAGCAAACAGCACATCTTAATTGAAATGTAAAGACTAGGGGAACAGCTCCTTGGTATCACTGTTATCAGTGATGCCATATGCAAACACATAGTTTTCCTTAAGTCTTTTATTTCACTATCTAAAAGAGACTGATTATATTTCACTAAGCACATTCTAACTTCTGAGCTATGCTTGCCAAACCATGTCAAAAATCAGTATAATTCAAATGCCATATTCTCATATTGGTAGCCATTTCCAAGATCCAACATTCTATTTGGTGTTTTGTTTCTTTTACCCTTTGTTTTTAATGGTTAGTCAAATTCTACATCCCTTTGTTTCATCAAGCACTCCCATTCTCTGGATACAAAGGAGAATACATACATACCTATATACATACGTAAACACATACATACATGCATATATACATACATACAAACATACATACATACATACATACATACACTCACATAGACACACTTTTAAGTTATAGAATTAATGTATGCAAAGACCATAGCATCTTAAGTTTAAGAAAACAGAATTGCTGGTATGTCATAGCAAATATGACTTTCATCTGCTTCCCTTTTCTGTACTTACATTTGCTATTTATTAATAACTTGATGCGACTAAAAGGACTCACTCTAGACAGATGTAAGTAATATAGTAAATGAAGATAATAAATAAAAAAGAAAAGGACACGACTGCTCCTAGGTATGGTGGGGGGTAAAGTTTATTGTAGATAAAAGGGAGAGCATAGCTAGAGGCAGAAACGTTTGGGAGAGTTCAGAGTGGACACAGGCCTGAGCTATGTGAGGAGGAGGAGAGTGGAGATGGAGAGCCAGACCAAGAGGCCAGGAGGGTGAAGGGTAGACCAAAAATGGGCAAGTAACCAAAATGGCTGGATTATATAGGGAAGGGCAGCCTAGCCCCTGGTCTGGAGAGGTTTAGGATAGGGAGCGGGGTGTAGCAGGCCAGGAGGGTCCTGTAACAGGTAGCGAGACTGAGGGATGCAGGGAGAACCGGGTGACCAGTGTCCACTTTGATATGTTAATGGGCACCTCAGCCATTTGTCCCAGGTTTGAAACTTAACATATGGACTGCACACAAGTTGGTTAACTTTACCAAGTTCCTTGTATCCATGGTTTGAAGCTCATCTCATGAGGTTCTTAGGTTAAGGTGCAAGAAGCCACATAAGGGCTTGTTACCTGGAATAATGGTAGTTGTGATGATTACTCATATGTACCAGGCATGATCTGTGACCTGTGTGAAATGTTTTATGGCTCTCATTTTCCAGGTGTGGGAAGTGGAAAAAAAAGAATCTTCATCTGCTTTATTCAGTGATTTAGATGTATCACTGCTTCCAATTTGTTAATGTAACCGTGGTGTGTGTGTGTGTGTGTGTGTGTGTGTGTGTGTGTGTGTGTGTGTGTGTGTGTGTGTGTTTGAAGTCTTATAACCCTTCACTTTCCCTTCTAGGGTAAGAACTAGAGAGTGGGAATCTTGTCTTCAGCATTTTTCTGACCCCTGGCACTCCCCGCACAGTGCAGTGCACAGCACATCTTGCTTAGACAGACGAGAATAAATCATTGATGATTCTCTTTTTTTTCAAGTTTTGAGTGGGTTCTGGCCTGATTGATTTCTTTTAGGAAATTTGAACTTAACCACGGAGTAGATGTGTTGGATCAATTGACAGCGTAATTTTTTCAAATAATGAATTGCTTCTCCAGTCTTTTTTTTAGGGTGCTATAGCAGAAGCACTGAATAATTTATTTAAAGTAATTCATTTTTATTTTCATTTCAACTATTTATCAGCTACTTTATATCTGCCACATTCAGCTACTGATAGTATTTTTATTATGAAATTGTTATTATTTCAGTTCGTAGTAGAGTGATTCAGATTTGTGTAGAATCTGAAGCCTAGATTTTCCTGAAGATTTAGATTGAAATATGGTAGAAGTTTATATTAGGCCTTGAGCTGTTTAAGACAAATTATTTCTACACAACAATTAGAAAGAAGCCCCTGTTGCTCTCTGTCAATACTGGAAGACACTGAGAGCTGAGACTCACATTGACCCCTCATCAGCTTAAACCAGGCATGATACCGAACAGTGTCCAGTGCTTTGTCAATGTTTCTCTTAACTGTGGGAAAGTACATGTAGTATTAAGTTTGTTTTTCTGATAAGTTGAAAGAAAATGGGGGGAAGTAGAAATTGCTATCTAGTCAGGCAAACAGCTGTTCTTTTCATTTTTCTTCAGAAAGACACGTCTCTCACTAATAACAATAATAATTGCTACTCTGAGATTGAGGTTTAGCATGGCTTCTTTTCAGTACCACATCTGACTGAAGCTAAACATGATACTTTGCATGCCTGAAGAACGATATAGGGTAACCATCGTGGATACATGTCTCCAGTAAACTGGATAGTTGTCTGGGTGGGAGGCAGATCCATTCAGATAGCAGGCAGAGCTCTCGTTTACACTTTCATAGATTTGGAAATGTTAAATGTTAAAATGATCATCCTTGTATTCTATATAATTATGGATTAAGGAGTTTATATGAGAATAAAATTATCAAAACCTCTCTTTAATCGGCTCTCTTAAAGGAACTTGTGGAGTACTACAAGCACCATTCTCTTAAAGAAGGGTTCAGGACCTTAGATACGACGCTACAGTTTCCATACAAGGAGCCGGAACATTCAGCCGGACAGAGGGGTAATAGAGCAGGCAACAGCTGTGAGTATTGTAATTGAGAATACATTTTTTTCTTTCAATTTTTGGTCTTAAGGGCATGGAAGCAAAATAACATTAAACATCCTCCTTCTGAACTTTGAAATATAGCCAATTAATATGCTAATGCAATGAATAGACACCCTTTTTTTTTTTTTTCTGGAGCTAAGCAAAGTTATAAGGACCGAGAGGTGCGTGAATGTGTCGAGTTATCAGGTTTTGTACCAAATTAAAAATTATATCCGTGTTAAAATAGCCATCAAAATGTAAGTGATATGTTAATGTGTAAAGTTTTATACTTTTCACTGGATTTTATATTAGCCATGTTCTCTTTAATTTATACATAACATGTGTAGCTGTGATGCTATTTGAAGAATAGTATCTAACAGATCTCTTCCGGTTTGCCTGGAATCCTAACTCTGCTAATGCTCCTATTTCAATCCAACATTTGAAAGGATTTAACACATTTTGTCAGTAGTTTTTAAACTATACATTGGTCACTTTCTTGAAGAATGTGTACTGTACTATAAATAATCATGAAGGGTGACCACACACAAACACACAGATGTACAGCTGCGTCACTCTTTCAATGAATCTAAGTCACAAACTCGCTCTGCCTCACCTTTTCATGTGAAGTAAACTTCCCAGACATAGACGCAACCTATAAAGAGAACACTGTAATGAAAATGTAAAGAAAACACATTTTTACTCCCTTGTTAAGAAATCTTAACAACAACAAAAAAAAAAAACAAAGGAAAACAATAAAAACTACTTTGGGGGAGAAATGAAAACAATTTTACTACTGTTAGAATCCTGAATTATGCACAACTGAAAGATGAAGAGGTAGTTCTAAAAAGGATTTGCACCAGTGTAGTATAACTTGAAGTTTATTTTTCCCCTAAGAGCTTACACTAAAGGGAGCCAGGTAATGCTCAGGTTTTCAACATCAGGACAGTTCCAAGTACTTCAGAACGGTATGGAAGTCATTTGTCACATCAGCTGAGAGGTTGTTTTTTGTTAAATTTTGTAAAGCTTCATGGTTTTTCTCATAATGGTCATTGACATATGTCCAGACCCATGTACTAAAACTAGTAAGAAGGCACTTTGTCTTGAATGTTTAAGTACCTTTGCAGTTTTACCTAGTTTATCAACTTTATCTATTTGTAGCTCAAGATTGCCCGATTATCTGAGATTCTCACACAGGCCATACTTTTTACTCATTCAAAATGAATGTTTAGCCTAAAAGGTAGTTTTGCTACAAACTTCTTAGAAGTCTATCCAAGTTATGACTTCTGACCTCTTTTTATATGATGCCTTCTTTTAGATAAACATAAATTTAAACCCTATCCTTTTCCTTAGCTGCCTTTCCAGTGGACGGGCATAACCAAATTGCAGAAGAGGTCATCTGCATGTGGAATAGTACTTGAATAGTTTACTTGGTTCTGCAGAGCCCTTTGGAGGAGTGGGGAACAAAGACGACATTACCAGAACGGGGAAGGTCATGAATCCACTATATCCATACTTTCCTTGTTTCTATGACCAAATAATGTCAAGAAGCAACTTAGAGAAAAGTTTATTTTGGCTTGCAGTTTGAGGGGATACAGTCCATCACAGAGGCTAGGAATGGCAGTGTGTGTTCCAAAGTGACTAGAGGGATGCTGGGACCCTCACCTACCCTCACCTTGACAGGAATCAGAGAGTTGACAAGAAGTAGAGCCAGACTAGAGAGATCAAAGCCCACCTCCAGTGAGTAACTTCCTCCACAAGTCTCCCAGTGTTGCTAACTCTCCTTACACAGAACACACTAGGTTTCAAAGGGTTGTATAAGCTTATATTTGTAGTTCTCATAGCAGCCTGCATTATGCTTTGATGCTTCATAAGTTTTTCTTGCTAACTTTATATTAAGCCTTGATTTAGGATTAGTCCTTAATGAAAACAGCACATGTATTTTTTTTAACTTTTGCTGCATATTCTGTACACAACGGTTGCTTGTGGGCACTTTTAGTCTTCATCCCTGGTTTATAGCCTTGGTCATGCTGCTGAATACCTAAACATAACTTTTACCAAACAGCATTGCCTTAAGGTACAGATTTAGGGCTGGAGAGATGCCTTCACAGCTAAGAGCACTGTCTGCTCCTCCAGAGGTCTTGAGTTCAATTCTCAGCAACCACATGGTGGCTCACAACCATCTGTAATGAGATCTGGTGCTCTCTTCTGTCATGCTGGCATACATGCAAATAGAGCACTTATATGCTTAAATAAAGAAATATTTTTAAGAAGATATAGATTTAGACTGAGATCTTGCATCTTTATTACTTCCAAAAATGATGTAGGATGCAGAGCCAGTAAGGTAAAGCCCAGTACCTTCTTGAGTTCTCCATAGAGGTGAGCAGCGAGCTCTACTTCTCTCTAGTAAAACTGGTTCGCTAGTGAGAGCAGTGGCTGTAACTTGTGTAGTCACCTTGGAAAAGAAAGGCTTGGCTCGGTTTTGAAGTATGTAAAGTATGGTAAGATTATGGCAGAATTAGTGTATGCAGTTGAAAAATAATATGTAGAAAGGTACTGATTGGTATCAAACATGAGCCCATAGTGTCAGGCAGGGAGCATTATGTAAGTTAGAAAGCCATCTTGTGCTGTCTCTGGACTGTCTACCAGGCTGTCAGGATAGTGTTATATTTTTTTATTGTTGTTGTCCTTTTAATAGCTTGAATGTTTCCAAAAGAGGAGAAAAAGAGAAAGGAGAGGGAGAGAAGAGTGGAGAGAGAACTCAGAGGGTAATGATACACTGATTTCCCTCCATAAAAACTGCAATGGTTTGGTGGAAGATAGTGTGTAGATCTGTATAAGAATCCCACAAAATTCCCAAATAGCCCTAAGCAACCTGCCTTTGATTGGCTTAGATGTATCTGTACACCTGTATGTTTGAAGGGCACTGAAATGGCTTTTGCCTTTTGTACTCTACAATGAGTATTTTAGTTATTTTCAGGCCTGTTCTCTTAGGAAAGTTATCCAGTTTGAACCTCAGCTTTCTCATCCAAAGAATGGAGAATGAGATTGGAAACTGTATCGTGTTCTTTGAGAAATCCCATCCTAATTTTATTTCTTTGTATGCATGGGAGGAGGTGGTGGAGTATAATTCTGATGGATCATTATGCTAGCAGAAGTACAGGATTTCCTAGTTTGTGACCCCAAATCAAACCTTAAACATTTTGCCAATTCATATTTATGGAGAATTAGGTCAGTACCAGAATATAGTTGCATTATTTTTTTTAATTAGTGACCATAGTTATATAAGGCAAAAGTCTCTCTCATGATGACTTACCAAGTATAAAAGGAAAAACATCAACATCTTAGCCAAGTGATCCAAGTTAGTATCACCAGAAATGTGCTATTAACCTGGACCACTTTGATGGTCCCCGCTCTGCAGTTGCATAATCTCAGTCTGACCACGTGGAAGCATCAGACAAACAGGAATTGAAAGGCATTAACAAAGAATCAGTCTGGGTTTGTAAAAATGTCAAAGTAATTAAGGGCAAAGTCTGATGATGCATTTCAGATCAAAGACAAACAAAGAGATATGATACCTGCAGAGCATGGGTAGAATTCTGACGAGGCAGGCAGCACATTTTGTGTGTGCCTATCATTTATGTTGCTATAAAGGGCATGAGTAGGTCAATTAGTGGAGTTTGCATTTATCCTATATATTAACTAGCTAGATTATAGCAGCACAATTTTCTGCTTCTGATAATTGTGCTGTGGCTAGAACAGCGAATATCTTTGTAGGAAGAACATACTGAAGTATTTGACAGTAAAAATGTATTATGTCTCCAGTGTGTATTCAAATGGCTCAAAAACAAGCATAGACTGGCAAAGCAAACATGGGAAGATGTTAGTATTTGGGTACTGTGGATGGAGTATATGAGATTTGTTTGTGCTGTTCTAGTCTCTTTCCTAAATGAATTATTTTAGAATTAAAAATGGTTGATGTGCAGAGAACCCTAGCTGCTGGCCACGTCCAAACGAATCACAGGAAGGTAGCAGGATCTATTTTTCACTAGCTCCAGATGCAGAGGAACCTAATCATTGATTTGTAGAACATCTGTACACTGAGTGGTTCACAAGTAAAGCCTTGCTGGGATCTCATTACATCTGTTTATTTGTTCCTATACTCAACAAATATTTAACACTTAACCATGTGCCAATCCTTGTGCTAGATGCTGGAGCTACAGTAATAAATAAGACAGTCTGGGAAATGGGAACACACAAAAGACAAATAAGGTAATCATAGAATTCAATTAGGCTTCTGAGGCCAAAGAACATATGTAGCTAGAGTTTTCCTGCCTGGCCCACAGTCAGGGCAAATCTCTCTCACCTGCCAGTCCCACAGCCGTCAGACCCAACCAAGTAAACACAGAGACTTGTATTGGTTTCAAACTGTATGGCCATGGCAGGCTTCTTGCTAACTGTTCTTTCAGCTTAAATTAATCCATTTTTATAAATCTATACCTTGCCACATGGCTCGTGGCTTACCGGCATCTTCACATGCTGTTTCTCATCGTGGCGGCTGGCAGTGTCTCTCTGACTCAGCCTTCCACTTCCCAGCTTTATTCTCCTCCTTGTCCCGCCTACACTTCCTGCCTAGCCAATGGCCAATCAGTGTTTTAATTATTGACTAATCAGCAACACATTTGACATACAGAACATCCCACAGCACTTCCCCCATTTTTTTTTTCAAAAAGGAAGGTTTTAACCTTAACAAAATAAAATTACATATAATTTGGGAATTTGGGCGTAGCTTCTCTTACTACTTCCTGCTGGAGGGGGGCGCTGTATCTTATGGGGAAACAAAGAAAATTTTAGGATTATGGAATAGTCCATGAGGCTGTATCATCTGACCCAGATGCCTTCAAACCGTTCTGGATGTTGGATCATCTGGGCCATGGTGTCATCGGAGACCTTTCAGGGGGTCTTGGCTGGTCAAACCTGATGTATCTTAATCTGGAACA